CACCGCTTACCATTGAAGGTGCACTCTGCGGTATCATTGTTGGCTGAGGCCAAGCACGTCCACTTTGCTGCGCTGCAGCAGCAGCAACAAGCCCTGGTGGTGGTGGTGGCAATACTGAACCCACTTCGCTTCGAACACCCGGATCATCACCTCCAGGGTTCTGCCGCAAGCGTGCGTAATCTTAAATTAATTTTATTTCATTTCATTCAGACAAAATACAATAATCTCCGCAAACAAAAAACTTTTGCGTTAAAATCTGCGCTTAATGTATTACCGAAACAGAATTTCAAATCTTCACTAACTTCAACATTCGTGAAACTTTCCAATTCAAAAAACTTTATTAATGGATAACAACTCCAGTTATATTTATTTCAGCCAAACAAAATAAAGTTTATTCAATTTCCAAAAACAAACCAGCACATTCTTCACCAAGAATATAGTAACATTGTTCAGTGAATGTAATTTTATTGACTACATGACTGATTAACTTCTCTTTCAACAATTCGCCAGCAAATTTACGTCCATCCTTTCGATCACGGAGACCATCAACATGTTCCATTAACCAATCAACCAAATCACTGCCTAAAAATGACGAAAGATTGAAAAAATTTTGAAGAACCTTTTTTTCAACAAAAATTACTTAACTAATATTTAAATGTGACCAATCAACAATGCTGGTTTTTGACGAAGAGTGAAACAGTTCCGGCAGCCGAACTGATACGAGAATTGCATTTCAAGCACATAAAGAACTACCAATAAAAGGAAGAAATGAATTCTGCTAAACAAATAAGTATTTACAGACAAAATTTAAGAATATGTACTCACAGCATGCACAATTAAAGAAAATCCCGAAAAACAAACGCGAATAAGTACTGGACTTTCAGCCAGTTTCTTTGTCCTGAGGTACTTTGTTCAGTAATGTTGAAATAATCTAATAAAGTCTCTAATAAAACTGTTCCGAGATAGAAATCCTACCAAGGAAAGACATAGGAATCGGAATCTTAAGCCAAGTGCGATTTTTGATATCTAATCCAGAATTTGGCATAACCATCATTTGGACAACTTTCTTTTTGTCCGTCATAGCATCTAACCGAAAATGGGCTGAAACACAAATAAAACTGAAGATAAAAGCAAACTGAAAAAGTGAATTTGAAACATCAAACGAATCTAAAAATTTTAAAGAAATACTGCCGTATTTCATGATATTAAAAATCAAATGCCATAAAATATAAAAAATATAAAAATATTTAAAAAGGAAATCAAAAAGCTGTTACCTCCGCCAACGATAGTATTTGGAACAGAACCATTTGATGTTGCAGTGCTGCTACTTGCAGGCCGACCGTATTGACCAGGTATCGGAGTTGGAGCGCCTTCAGATCCTGAAAAACTTTTTGAACTTATTAAGCTTCAACAAAATTTTTGAAATAACATTGAAAATTGTCAATCCCTGACACTTAAAACACTTTAAAAATGAAATTTTTATATAACACTGAAAAAAACCTTCGAGAATGGATGGCATCCCGCGCATAGCATTAGTGTGCTGTATCCAGGCTTGAGTATCAATAGGCCGCACCGGTTCATCCCGATGTCGAGGGACAGTGAATGCACTTCTTGGCCCACTATCCCACATCTTAGCTACTGTTAACTTAATTGGTCTGAAAAGTAAGACTCGATATTTATGAAAAGAAAAGAGTTATTTCTGCGAGCAGAATTAAATTCAAAAAAGATCATTAGGGAAAAAATGTCTGTATAATTAACTTCAAATACTTTTCGATAAATTTTCAAATATTTCCGTAATACCGCCTTTGTCGCATAATACATTGAAAAATTTATGAATTTACCCTCTCCGTGCAACTGATTCACGCAAAACATCTACTGCCTGATCGTTCGTGAAGTTTTCGAATGAAATATCGTTCACTTGTAAAATCATATCACCCGGCTCAATTCTTCCATCTAATGCTACAGCACCTCCTGAAATGCTAATGCGTATTACATCTGAAGTGCAACCTTTTCCTAAATGTAAATGCCCAGAATCAAGGGATACTGTCATTTTAAACAAGTCAGACAAAGTTATCTAAATCAACTACCTTTCATGATATTAGCAACATAAATGCCATTATCACCACGAGATGAGCTTTGTCCAACAATACTAATACCCAAAAAGTTCACCGTATCCATATTCAATGTTACTGTGATTACATCCAATGACATTGAGCTTTCTGTTATGCTACTAAAGGATGAAGCTCTTGAAGGTTGCCGAAATCGTCGACGATTTCGGCGTTTACGATATGCAGGAGCATGATGCTGTCGAGAAACGCTGGTAATGTCAGTAGAAGTTGAAACCCTGAATTTTTTAAATTTAGAATAATTTCATTTTCGATAAGAAACAAGTCAGGAAAGCTGATAACTATTCAACTTCTTGCTAATCTAAAGAAACAAATTGCAAATTAGTGAAGTGATTTGATTTTTGTATTATATCCCACAAGTAATATTCGTAAAGAAAAAGGTGATTCCCTACAGACTTTAGAAATCGATACAAAAAACCTCGAACGGTCGTCATCATCCGAAAACAACCGTGCGTCACTCTCAGAGCCCAACGTTGAGTCTTCAAAACGTCGACCACCACGATGTCCTGAAATTATGAAGTGTAATTCAGGGAAGCAATCTCGATATCATTTTGGATGTTCACGGACAAAGTTTAAACTCTAATCAAAATTTTCTAAAAAAGATGGACTAAGAAAAAGAATAGTATATTACCTCATACAGCTTGTTTTATAATAATATGTGAAGACAACCTATAAAGTAGCAAGAAACATTAGATTGCATACCTTGCGGAATGTATTGCTGCGGAAATGGTCGCCTCGGCATTCCCTTTACTTGCATTGGCAGGGCTCTCATATCACTGATAAAAGAATCCGAATCTGTAGATGCCACTAAAACAAATTTTTTCATAATGAACAATTAATTTTAAAAATAATTTTTAGAAATTGAACAACGAATAAGATTTAAAAAAAAATTACTACTGTGATCAAATTGCTGCACAGCTTGTCGATAAGCCATACTTCCAATTGGATACATAGTCGGTGTTGGGCCCGGAACCGGAAATAAAATAATGTACAAATGCTAATTCATCATTCTTATTTCTTAGTGGCTTCTTGCTCTTTCCTACTCTCGACAATTCTACTTCTTAATAAAAAACGAGTCATGTATAACATCGGACTCCATATATTTCCAGCTATTCAAGTTAATAAGCATGCGAAATTGTCAAAATGATTTAATCTCGAAAATGAGAAAGGATATACTAAATAAAAACTCTAAAGTGAATTCAACTTACCATGAGTCGTGCACTTTTCAGTGGAAGACCCGAAGAACCATCGGAATGACTGCTACCTTCCGATGTAAGCAAAAAAAGCTCAAACTGACCATTTGCCGAACGATGTAAACATTCACTATCATCACGTATCTCCACTTTCACCTCACTACAATGCCTTCTTAATATTTCACATCATAAATGTTTAACGGTCTCTGAAAGTGACTACAAACTCAACTTAGTATCGACTACTTAAACGGAAAATTAGTACTACAAGTCACTTTTTAAAAAGTTAGCTTTTAATAAACTATAAAAAATATTTAAACTTACGGAAAGACTCCAGAATCGGGAGCGGGAGCTTTACAGTAATATTTAAAATTTGATCGTGTCAACACACGCTTGAAATCACCCAATGTTATTTTATCAGGTGGTACCATGACATCAGTACAATATGGCACCATTTCGTCATCGATATGATAATACACCTTAAAATAGTCGTCAGTGTAATAAGTTACTCGCACAAAATTTTTTGCCTGTTCTTAATCCTTTATTCACAAAACATGGAGAATATGCTGGTGTTGAAACATTTCATTAGGTAACACATTACTTGAAACATTATTAAAGTAATTATCAGATAATGTATTCGATGTACTTCTCATATTGTAATGTTAATGAATGAGATAGTAGAATGACATTATAACGTCAGTAAACATTTACAGAACTCGAAAAAGAATTCTACTAACACTTATCCGAAGAAGCATAAAGAAAGCAGAGAAGGCACTACCACGAATTAGATGAATTAAGATCAAACACTGGCCAAACTACCGAGAGCATAACCAATGCAAAAAATGCATAATAAGTTTAAAGCTAATACCGTAAACTCTCCCAAGTCCACTTGATGTTTCATATGACATACCACCAGCAAAAACACAATACTAGATAACCAAGTAACTTTATTTCAATTAATTTCGAAAAATTAACGTAAATTCATACTTTTGTACTTGTTTGTTGTGAAGGAGCTCCTGTTCCGTGTTCTAAATTTACAATACCTTTAGTAAGCGGTTTTTTCGATGCAGATGAACCGTCCTTATTGCTTTCATCTTTACTTTC